TATTTGTGAGCTCAAGAACGTACGAATGTGTATTTGTCATTTGTAGATATGTGTTTATGAGGTTACCCGTAATAAACAACCTAAGAGAACCCTAACGCCGGTTTTGGAGTATTATTTAATGGCCCTGTAGGGGAACCCGGCTACATACATAGGCCTAGTTAACATGTTCTATACTGTAAATAGTTCATCCACATTCATTTGATTCTCTTCCACTTTTCTTGTAAGTTTGTTCACAGTCTCTTCAATGCATATCATATCAGTCATCCTACTTTTGAATTGGTAAATTGCATCCGCACTGTTAACACTGAAGTTCCATACATGCAAATTAATACAATTTGTTATTTCGCATTCTTCTTATGCACATTTTTATCAATTGTAAGTGTTAAAACTGTGATTTGGGATCAAAAACTTAAATAGATTAAAAAAGAAACTTTTGTTCCGGAGGTGAGAAACATCCTATACATAATGAGTTATCATTGGGGGTTAAAACCAGTTTCTACCTTTGGTTTGGTTTTATTTGACTTCCACTATCAACAACAAATGTCATTTAAGGATTTGCCTCAATATATATTGTGTATGCGTGCTTGCGTGTGTATCTGCAGTAGGCAGGGTATGTTGGTGTGTAAATTTGCCTCTTTACGATAGCGCAGATCTGATGCCGATTAAATAGTGCTATATCACCGAAAAATCATGCTGAAGGCACCGAGCGCAGCATATCGCCCGGTCACATTATATTGATATGTGAACCAGATGTTGCAATTCCAGAATGTTAAACAGGGAATAACAACAACCATTTTTAAAGACTTTGGTTAGTCACGACCCATTCTGCAGGGGGTTAAACGTTAGTCGCCTCTTACGATACACGGAGTGGGTAACAGCAGGTAATTTATATATTTTTCTCGATTTCATGGAATCAAATACACCCAAATATCCTGACTCCAGCACACTTACACAACTTACATGGATGCACGTCCTTAATTGAACTTATCTGTTTAAAGGGCCTTAAAAAAATCAAATGCAGCCAACTGAACAAAATCTTCATTGCCACGTTTTCAAAAAAGCCGTCGGCTGAATATAAATATTGACGCGTAAGATTCGCAGTCAAGGGAAGCTACTCTGTCGTACAACCAAAAGTGTTATAAGATTCAGTAATCACATGATTTCAGGAGACAAACTTTTTTTTAAATAAATGAATTCCGTCATCATATGAAGTCATTAATGGTTTATTCTTTTTTTATTATAATGGTATTTTTCAATTATCAATGATAATTTTGTCCATATTTTATGTAGACGGAAACTTCAACCAGTCCCCTGCAGGTCGATGATCGAGATATGGATTGAATCTGTTTCTTTCCAGTGTTCGTGCAAGTATGAACGAGAAAAAAATACTTACACACCACATGAGCGGCCATAGCTAAGCGTGAAAGCTGTAAGTAAATTTGTACCCGATCATACTTGCAAGAACACTGGAAAAATCCAGATCAACGGGAAGGAAAACCAAAAACATCATTTAAATTACGAACCTTTTTCATTCATTCATAAATTAAGCGTCAATCTGAATAAATACAGCTGTTCATTATCACGTACCGCATGCTATTTGTAAAATAATAGGGAAAAACGATATTTTCTTGCTTTAAAATGGCCATTAAAACTGACGCCAGAACAAGGGAGAACGCGTCTCCGGTTCAGAAATAAACATTTAACTGTTATTTGACCAAATTGGGTCACTGTGACCTAGTTTTGAAGATTTGACCTACATTAGCAGAAATGGTTGCAGGGGCAACATTTTAACAGATGTAAGACAAAATAAGAAGACTGACCTAATTTTCAAAATTTGCCCTACATTGTCAAAAAGGGTCATAGGGGTCAGATAATAACATTTAAGTTGTTTGACAAAATTAGGTCAACGTGACCTAATTTTGAAAGTTGACTTCATTATCCAAAATAGTAAATGGAAAATGAGATTGTTAAAAACCCGTTATTTGAGATGTATTTAAAATCATTGTCATAGTGTTCCAAACTTTACATATATTTTTCCAAGCCAGGTCCACCTAGAACTACTTTTTATAATTTTACATGTACTTTATAAATTGTTACAGGATTCAGAAATTATACATAAACCTACTTTTCAAAATAAGACGTACATTATTTAAAATGTCATTAAGTTCAGTTCAGAAATTAGCATAAATGAAAAAATGATGCTTAACCAAATTACGTCCCTGTGACATACACACCATGCATGTATTGTTTTTGAATAGTCAACGGGTTACAAAACAAACATTAAACTATTTTGACATAATGATGTCATTTTGACCTACTTTTCATACTTTCTTTTCAATTTACTACTGGTTAAAATGTCCTTAGTCCATATTGAACATGAAAATTAACCTCAAAATATGTCGACAATTTTCTATATTGAATGTGTTGATATGGCCCCGGGTCCTTATTCTACGTTGAAAATTGACCCCAGAAAATCATAAAACCTTTTAACATTAAATTGTCAAAAAGTGAACCGGGTCCATATTCAACGTTGAAAATGGACCCCTGAATACTGATACAGTTTTCCATATTCAATAGTCAAAGAGTGACATAGGTACTTATTCAGCGTTGAAAATGGACAAATACGACACAATTCCAAGGTCAAAATGTAACCCGGGACCATATAAAAAGCTGAAAATGTATCCCAGAAACATTATGGCCTTTTCATATATTCAACGTTGAATATGGACCCCAGAACATTATGACACCTTTTCATATTCAATTGTCAAAAAGTGACCCGGGTTCATATTCAACTTTGAAAATGGACCCCTGAAAATTATAAGATTTCCATATTCAATTGTCAAAAAGTGACATAGGTTCTTATTCAACGTTGAAAATGGAACCCAGAAACATTTTGTCGTTCTTATTTATTTAATTGTCAAGAATGGTCGTGGGTCGATTTTCAACGCTGAATACGGACCCCAGAGTATGATGACACCTTTTGTTATTTAATTGTTAAAGCAAATGACCCGGGTCCATATTCAACGTTGAAAATGGACCTCTGGAAATTATTAGTTTTCCATATTCAATTGTCAAAAGGGACAGAAGTCCTTATTCAACGTTGAAAATGGATCCAAGAAACATTATGTCGTTTCTATATATATTCAATTGTCGAAAATGGTCGTGGGTTGATATTTAACGTTGAAAATGACACTAGAACTTAGATTGTATGTCATTTTTTCATATTGAAATGTCAAACAAGAGACCAAACTGGGATCTTTGCTCCCACCTATTGGGGTTGTTGATTTTACAGCTTTCATGCAATTATGTCATTTGTAGAAGAAACCCCCTGCATAATCGTGGATATGCTTGTTGTCCTCTATTTGGGGACACAAAAGCGACCAAAATGAATCTGCTGTGCCCATTGCAATATTTGGCATCTTTATCTTTCTTTCTATTTCTAACTACCTTTTATTTATTCTCTAGCGCTTTGCTTGGCAACACCTCATTTTTGGCTTGAGTGTTTACCGTTCGCCCAGGTAAGGAAGGCAATGGGTTCTGTCCTCAGGCCGGGACATACCAAAGTCCTTAAAAATGGTAGTTGTTATTCCCTGCTTAACGTTCAGCTTAAAGGGGAATGGGAACAACTGGTTCGCTAGTGCCAGTATAATGTGACCGGTTGGAATGCTGTGCTTGGTGCCTTCGGCATCGCATTTCAGCGAGATGGCAACATAAAGTCGGCATCAGATCCACGCTTTCACAAGGAGGCAAGCACAACAATATATCATGTGTCCTGCATGCACACACGCAAGCATGCATACACTACACACTTGGAGGCACGTCCTTAAATAACCTTAGCTGTTAATAGGATGTTAAACAAAATTAAACAAAAAACCAAACTAATCCAATCCTACACATTATATTTTCTGGTGGGGCGGTAATACGCAATAAGTGCATTTAACTTACAACTGGAACTCGTTCTCTGTGCTATAGAATTTTGTTAAGGCATCCCGCCATGTAGACTATGGCCTTTGAACGAAGACATGTTTTAAGATGAACTATTTCATCGACTCACGCCAGAGACATTGTTGTTCTACATGGTAAATCGGAGAGGTAGCGCAATGAGGCACATTCACCAAGATACCGCCTCAAGCATACATGCATAAATAACGCACATGGATGCACGTCTTTAAATTTCCTGTGCCAACTTGTATAAAACATCTCAAAGTTAAGGAAAATCTCAAGCAATGTATTGTCTATGGGAAATCTTGGACTTGAGGAAATCTCAATAGTTGAGATGTTTTATACAAGTGGGCCCTGAGCTATTAGAAGAACGTAAGCCATATACATCACACTAACCTTATTTGTGCCAGCTTTAAATTGTAGCCAATTTGGATAAAGCTAAATGGACATCAGGCCATCTTAGATTGAGATGGATGTATTTTACCCAAAAAGTACGAGAGATGAAACTTTGCATGGTTTCTTCGGTCTAAGGTTGTGAATGTTCCAATTTTGAAAATGATTTAGAAATCTAGCATAGATGGGATTGTTTTGGATTTTACATCCTCACAACATTTATCGACCCATTCTACCATTCAGGTGGTTACAGCAGATCTACTCCATCTCCAAATCTGCACAGGTATCAGACACTTTTCACGTTTAAGGTGTATTCTCATTTATAGAAACGTCTGATTTTCGGTTTTTGGTCCAAAGTGACTAAAATTATCGATGGAATGAAAATAAGATAAAATTCAAAGACAATTACAACTGGTTCGCTCGTTGTCAGTAAAATGTGACCGGGCGGAAACCTGTGCTGGATGCCTTCGGCATGGTATTTCAGTGAGATAGCACTATACTGTCGGCAGCAGATCCTCGCTATCACAAATAGTCAAGTACACCAACATGCCATGTCTCCATCACCAACACACATGCATGCAGCCACAACACACACGGACGCACATCTTTAAATGACCAAAGCTGTTAATAGGACGTTAAACAAAACAAAACCAAAGCAACGGCTACATTTCTTTAATACATTCATTCAAGCATTCTGAAGCAAATCAGTTTTAAATGTTTCTTATTTTAATTCCTCTTAGAGATAAATGCAACGATTCGAAACTGAAATTCAGTTGTTTTATAAACTTGCACATTTCCGTTTAAACGAACATCATTTGTTCATGATTCGGAACATGAAATACCGGATGCAATCAACCAGAATTTGGATAAGTTCTACTCCACTCAGGACGGATGCGCCGACAAACAGACCAACAGTACCACCTATATCTGACAAAAACTGGACGCTCTGAAAAATAAAATGTGGATACTTTTAATAACTTAGACGGCATCGGAATAGTATAGTAGAGTTGGAAGTTTATACTGTGGTTGATATTGATTGCAAAAATACTTTTCCAGACGCATGAAAGCGTATGGAAACGTTTGAATTTCACTCATGCGCTTTGAAAAAAATTAAACATTAAATACTTTTTGTATACCGAGTTGATTTTGCAATACTTACATCATATGCCGGGACTTCTCCAACGTGTTCGTAGCTTAGTTCCTCGAAGTAGAGATCTAATTTCAAAAAGTTGTCCACGAGTCTACAAATTAAGAACAAAATTAATATTGTTGTCCGACGTTTCCCAACACTTCGACGGGATTCGTAGGTTTAGGGGACATATTTTGCCAGCTTTATCCCATCAGATGTTGTCGTAAAGGTGACTTATGTAGAACTGCAGAATCTAGTGTTTTCTTCTGTTATCTGCTTAGGGGAACATTAAGGAAACAAAAATGAATCTGGTAACGCGTAGGATCTACATATCCTTTTATCGCTTTCCTTGTCTTACTTTGAGATGATATTTCCCTGGACTCCTTTGTATATTTAAGGATTGAAATGCATCTTTTTAACATTTATGAGGGTATGCAAGACAGTTCCGTTCAAACATATTCTCCAAGATGCAGGTAGGGCGTAATAATTGTACCTGCTGCCCCCATTGCATGATCGTAAGCTGTTAAACAATATCAAACCAAGCCAAAATTCGCTAACGCGCATCATGGAATATGTTTGAACGGAACTGTGTTGCATACCCTCATAAATGTTAAAAAGATGCATTTCAAACCTTATATTTACGTTATATTACATTCGCTTTCATTATTTTAAATTAAGAGTAAGTTGTTTTTTAACTTAACAAAGGTTTGGTTTGGTTTAGTATTGTTTAACGCCCCATTGCATGATCGTAAGAGGCGACTAAATTTGGGATCTTATCTTTTCTCTTTTTCTAAACAAGTTTTTCTTCCTAATGTCTCCCTTGGCAATGACTCACTTTTGGCCTTTAGTTGAGCGTTCGCCTCTGTGAGAAAGGCTTTGGGTTCTGTCCCCTTGCCGAGACATACCAGAGTCTGTAAAAATGGTAGTTTCTACTCCTGCTTAACGCTCAACAACTTAGGAGTGGGACGACTCGTTCGCCTGTTGTCAGTATAATGTAACCGGATGGGGGTGTCCTATTGGGTGTCTTTGGCAGTATGTTTCAGTGAGGTAGCACTATAAAGTCGGCATCAGTTCTGCGCTATCACATCAGTTCTGCGGCCTCCCAAAACACAAAAGCATACACTACACACATGCATCTTGCACACTGGGGAGGCCGTCCTTAAATGACTATATCTGTTGATAGGACGTTAAACAATATTAAACCAAACCCAACCATGTTGTGAGATAATCCAAGACGAAAAATATGAAACAGGAGGAACTGTGCTATGAAATACGTAAGTAGGGAAAAAGGTTAACATGTCCCTTAATCAAAGGGTAAAATAACAAGTACACCCTTGCCTTTGCACGTAGCACAACACTGATCTGATCGTTATTATAGTGGTAAACAAAAAAGGGCTACCACAGCGACCCCTTATGTATGTTATAGAATAAAGAATTTAGACGAAAAATTATGGACAATTGAAAGGAAAACGGCAAAGGGAAATGTTGCACAATACCGAAACATATCCTCTTGTAACAGAATGGTATCTTCTGGAAGACGAAGTTGACCTAAAACACTGTTCACATTTGCTACTTGAGTCATACGAAGATCGTGTAATAGTGAGATGGTGCGTAACGCAGATTGACCAATAAAAACAGTTGTTACTACACAAAGGTTGTATTATTAAATATAATTAAACACTGCGATCATTTTGTTTCTCAAATCATTTATTAGTATTTTTTACCAGTATATATTAATAGATCTCTTATAACCACGATAATTACAACTTCTAAACACATAGATATTATTTGTATATTATGTAGCCAACACAAAATTTGTTGGTTACTATACTGCAGATAAGACGTCACACATTACTAAAAACTTGCCATGCTATTTGATAAATATGAATTTTAATTAAGTCGAGTTATGTTGAATAACAGTTAAAGACAACCAAACATACCTCTCTGTGTTAATTGACCCATTGGTTGTGCCGTTCATTATTTCAATGCAGTCATGGCCCGTCACGTTCTTTATTTTCATAGCTTGGATTTCTTCCTGACACATTAGATTGACTAGCTCATTCGTCTGGAAGTATATTTGCAAACAGTTAAAATAAGTCAATCAATCAGCAGTTTATTATACATTACAATTCTTGTAATGTGATTGCCGATTTCATCTTTCACCTATCACATTATTGTTTTTAATGGGTAGTTCCTTCAAGAAAATGAATTTAAAATAAAACAAATTAAAACAATAAATTGAATGATGAATAATAATCACAGTTTATAATAACAAGGAAAATATCGAAATTGAACATGGCTTTTCGTTTTCATGCTTGAAGTCTTAATACTGGTAAAACCACATAAATTATATTATATAGTACCATTAAGTGGCCCTATTATTAGTGGTTAATGTTTTCTCATATTATCTTATAGTAGTTGTAAAGAGGTAAAGCCCCCCCCCCCCCATATAGCGAATATAATGTCATGTGTTCGAAAGTGACAACATAATTTCACGTCATCAAAACAAGCGTTTACTACTTTGAGATGTCAAGTAGTGTTCTGAGAACCTAATATACATTAAAACGTAGCAGTTCGAAAAATATGTTCGTCTTGTTTGGTTTAATGATCATGCTGCGTCTTATGTAACTTGAAGACGGCTTCCGTTGGAAACACCGACGATATTAATTGAAACGAATCTGATAAATAACAATGTAGTCTTACCATGTATTCTTCATGTGGCCATCTAAGACTTGATACAGTGGTAGAGAAGTGGGTCTCGCTGCATTAAGATAGGTTAGATAATAAAGCAGTTCTGTTAGGCAATTTATGTTACATGCTTTAATGTTAAGGACTAATTTAGATTTAACCGTAGTAAAACAGAACCACTATTAATATTGAGTAATACGTATACTGAGACAGCTCAATCTTATTTGTTATTTCCTTAAAGGTATTGTTAAAATTCATAAACATCTCGGTTGTTTTTTAATAGTCGTTGAAAATGGTCAGATTTTGTTAACTATGTGTATGAAAAAAGTTGTAAATAATCATATTGATCAAACATAAACCAGATAGATAGTATTTTAAAACAATTGATATGTCTTATAAAACTTGTTTTTTAAGATTGCTAGTGCTGTCTTGAGTAAATGTCCAAATGATATAAAAATAGTGCCTTCTAGTATGTTTTAATGGAGCAAGCAAGTCTGTATTTTCCCACAACTCATCTCATTGCCACAGTTGTAGCATGAATTGTCTATGCAAAACACAAATATTACAACCAGCTCACTGTACAGATATGTTTTATATACTGGCTCCAGGAACCATCGCATTAAATCATGTGTCGTAGAATAGATTGAAAAACCTGGAAGAACATAGTACTGTGCAGCGATTTGTTTGTGTATTGTTTACCGGCCCTTCGACAATGGGAGTCATTTAGGGCCAACAACACTGTAAAAAGAGACATTCACGAAAATAACACATCAAACCAAAACTAAATGGCTTAAATGTGTAAAGTATTAAAGAAATACATCAAATCGAACAAATTGGCTGCACAATATATCATATTTTATTGCAAAGATCAATAGAGTGTAAATAGTCATGTATTAATTGCAGAGAAACTGTATCGAGTAATCTTTTCATAGATGGCACATCATAAAATCTGTCACGTATTTATTTAAAATCAGCACATTCAATCATAAAGTGTTTGCCTATAAATGGTTGATCGCATGCCAGACAATAAGGCTGGTCTTCCTTACGCAAAATGTAGTCATTTGTGATGTAGGTATGGCCTATGCGCAGTCGCGAGAGGACAATTTTCTCACTGCGGTCTGCTGTGCAGCAACTAACTTTTCATGTGTTTCTAACCGAACACGATATCCTACTTGTTAAACTGTCTGGTGTTCTAATCGCTAATTTCTGTGAACATTTATTAATTCAACAGCGTATTGGTGCTTGCTTTGCCTATCAAACTTACCATTTACACTTCATCATACTTTTTTGTGTACATTTTCTGGTAATAAGTGTACGATTATATAAAAAGTATGTTCTCTCATCAGAAAAGAAAATTAATAAGCGATGTCTGTGCTTAAACAATTTGTATTTTTGATACAATAGGATTGTCGTCACTGATAAATTATTCCGTCAAATATTATTTGTCTTTTATCCCTTCAATGTCTTACCTGCAGGGATTGGTGCATGGACAATGAAGATCACCCTTCAATTGCGCTTTCAGTACCAATAAGGAACACACTTCTACAAATAAATAAATGGAATCCTCATGACAAGCGGAAAAGTATCATGTTCCATATTAATATACCTAACTATTGAATATTATTATTCATTCCACGGTTAGCTTAAACAACATTTAAAAACAAATTGATGAATGCATAATCAAACACCGGCGTAAAACAATATTTAAGGATAAGTAATATGTATGGACTTTAAAAATGTTCATATTTTGTTTTGCTCGTAAATCATATAAATATATCAATTTACCTACCCGTCTTGCAAACAAGTTATCAAACAGCTAACCTAATTGAAGTAAGTAGTCGATTGTTTGTCCTTTGTATCATCTGTGGAAACCAACTTTAAACGAGCTTGGCTGTCACAAAGACGTAAAATCCCAAACAAAAATACTCGATAAGATTTCGTTTTTGGTCTTGGTGATGAGCGTTCATCTAAATGATGAAGGTTGTAAGCTTTCAGACAGACATGCTAAGCCTAAAAATGGGTTTGTAAATTTTGCTCTCTGCTTAGCAGAAAGCTTTTAATAAGTGCTGATAAGTTTAGTTTGATTAATGGAGCCTAGGGTCCAATCAAAATTGCAAACGACGAAGGTCCATGTGCTTAATGTATACGTGTGTGCTGGGTCGGTTTGGTTTGATTAACTGCCTTTGTATTTGGCTCCTTCCGAAAGCGCAGATTTGGTGCGAAATTTGGTGAATTAATTTTCGCTCATATCTTTAAATGTCTAGTTACCATTAACTGAACTGCATGTTGATGTTGAGTTGGTAACTATCGATTTGTCGATAGACACGAAACCCGTTGTACAGTCACATATGTCTTCCGTCAGGGTGATAAGACAAATCTGTTCACATGCCTAAATTATATAAGAAAAAAACAAAGTGTTTTGTCATTCCCTTTTACTGAGACACAAAGGTAATTATCAGCCACTACTAGAACCATAAAATGTCACAGAGTACTTAACTTTAAAATAAAATTCGCTCTGAAATTTACCAGAAGAGAGTCAACATTCTTAAAAAGGGGCCGGCGTATCCAAGGGATGAGAGTAAGGGTCACAGAATACAAGACCTTTCAACAGCACTACATTCACCCAGTCACTTGATACTGACAACGGGTGAACCAACTATTACCCTTAATGCTGAATGATATTTAACATGGAGTAACCAGATTTGGTGATGTACATGCAAATCGCGACGTAAAATGGCTCTACTACTCTATAATCAGATTGTGTTGACCTTCAACCAACAAGAGAACATTTCCATTATATCGTTACATAAATTCATTCTCTTTGTTTCGACAAATCGCGACGTAAAATGGCTCTATTACTACACTAACACCTGCTGATTTTAAACTTTATTTTATTGATTGTAAAACACTTTTATCAAAGTTTATAACATCACAGTCGCATATAAAAAGGAACCAATGCTTTGACAAGAAATTACAATATTTAACCTGTTATCAGTAAATATTGCAACGTAAAATGGCTATTACTCTATTATTAGATTGTGTTGACCTTCAACCAACAAGAGAACATTTCAATTATATCGTTACATGATTGCATTATCTTTTGTTCGACACAATAAATACATGTATCTAACTGTTGTTTTACAATTTTCTATTAAGTTACTTCGTATGATAGCGGAGATAAGTGCTTGAAAAGTAGGTCATTGTGATGTGTTTTGTGACGTCAGACATCGGTAATAGAAAAAAAACATATACGGAGCATATCAGTACACCTTGAGTACCCGGAATTTGTATACAAATACATGTTTGGATGGTTGAGTGCAGTTTACGAAAAGTAGACCATTATGACCTATGCTTTGGCCTTTACTCTTTGAAATATTTAATACGGCATATGTGTATTATCTTCAGCTTGCTTGTGCTGTAATCAAAATCATACTCCAGGGGTTACGCTCACTTTCGCTCTCTGCACCCATGGGATATTTCATATCAAAATTGAAGGCACGCAGCTAGCAATTTGATTGGTTTCAGGTAAAAAAAACCTGACCAATCACTAAGCTGATACTTGTCTTTGAAGATTACAATGGGGCGACTCCTGACTTCAAAGCTTGTAAGTTTTACTAGCTCTCTCGTCTCATCCACAAGGTGGTTCACACTGAGCCTTCAATTTTGCTATGACATATTCCATGTCATTAGCGATCTATTATGTTTTGATAGGCCGTTAAGAATCTAATAAAAAGAATACTTGCTTGTGGTTAATTAAGAAATAGAAGCTACAGGTACAACTACTCTCTTGTATCATGTATTTGCGTACCATTCTTGTATATGTTATCCCGTATTTGCTTTTGTATTCAAGGTGCTTTTCGCAGTTCCCATGTGGATGTCCAAGTCTGTTTATTTTTTTCTGAAAAAGAATAACACAAAACAATGAGCATTACCCGGTATGTGTCTTAGTGGAGAAGTTACATCGGTGTTCACGCCCGTCGAATACGGGACGTTTTAGGTCATCACGTGAGCGGGCGGGCAGACGGTCGGTCGGTCGGTCATCACTATTGTCCGACTGTTATTTAAGGAGTTATGCCCTTTTGATAAATTGCACGAAAGCTCGGCAGAGCTTGATAACCACCGTTATCTGACAATAATTACGGGTTTTATGCCCCTTATTCCATTGATGAAAATGTGTCTACTTTATACCTTGAGTAGTTTTCTACCGATTAACTTAAAGCTTCATGTGTTTGTTAATGACCATGACAGCGCGAACCAGTTCGATAATCACTATTATTTGTCTCCAATTGACGGAGTTTTGCCTCTGAACCAATTGTGTGCGTGTAATCACAAGTATCATATCATACTTTGTAGACTTATTCCCCTTCGTTTCATTAATGCAATACGACATACATCCCAAGATGTTTAATTTCACTCATTGATATGCAAGGTATGTTGAATATTGATCCCCGAACATCAATTACTCACAAATCATTCGTATATTTCAACGATACAAGCAACTGCTCACTTAATATCTGACGGGCATATTCCCTGCAGGTAGGGCGTAAGAATTGTACCTGCTGCCCCCAATTGCATGATCGTAAGAGGCGACTAAATTTAGGACCTTATCTTTTGGGTTCTGTCCCGAGACATACCAAAGTCTTTAAAAATGATAGTTTCTACTCTTGCTTAACGCTCAGCAAATTAGGAGTGGGACGACTGGTTCGCGCGTTGTCAGTATAATGTGACCGGGTGGGGCGTCCTGCTGGGTGTCTTCGGCAGTATGTTTCAGTGAGGTAGCACTATAAAGTCGGCATCAGTTCCGCTTATCACAAGGAGACAAACACGAACATATCGCAGCCTCCTAAAATACACACACATACACTACACGCATGCATCTTGCACACAGGGGAGGCCGTCCTTAAATGACATTAGCTGTTAATAGGACGTTTAACAAAATAAAACCAAACCAAACCAAACTGACGGGCATATTATTAACCGCTTTGTGGTTATCTAGTTTATTGATAAAAATGTAGTTGAGTGTTGACATTACCCTTTGCACTTAAACATTGAAGAGCACTCCAAAGGAAGAAGTTTATGTATCTGAAGTATTATCTGCCATTTCGGGCTTATTTCCTGGAACCAATTTTCTACAGCGTTCGCCCCTGTGAGGAAGGCTTTGGGTTCTGTTCCATAGCCGAGACATACCATAGTCTGTAAAAATGGTAGTTTCTAATCCTGCTCAACACACAGCAATTTAGGAGTGGGACGACTGGTTCGCCAGTTGTCAGAATAATGTGACGGGGTGGGGGGTCCTGCTGGGTGTCTTCGGTAGTATGTTTCAGTGAGGTAGCACTATAAAGTCGGCATCAGTTTCGCGCTATCACAAGGTGGCAAACACGAACATATCGCAGCCTCCCAAAACAAACACGCATACACTTCGCGCATGCATCTTGCCATGGGAGGCCGTCTTTAATAACCATAACTGTCTATAGGACGTTAAACACTACTAAACTAAAGTAAATATTCTGCAGTAAACTCTTATGTATATTCCAACAATCTCCATGTGTCCTTGTTTGATGCAAGAACAGGTTTAATAACCCGGAGGGACCTAGTATCTGTTTTCATATAACTATGGCAGAGACGTGTACTTCAAAAATATAATTCTAAAACATAATTGTAATTCCATCGTATACCTGCTTGAGACTGATGAATGTCCAATCTGGTGCTAAAGTCACTCCCTGTTCTTCAATAAATGGATATGTGCCCGGTTCATGCACCACGAGCTTTAGTCCGTGTCCACTGCTGTACGGACTCACGTATTCATGCGAATCAAGGTTCAGCATCAGTGTAAGACCTACAATAAATAATGCATTATTGTTGTTTACAAAATTGTTATTTACATACCATAACACTAAATACATACATGTATTCAACCTGCATCTCGTCAATTAAAGTTTCAATAACACGGAAAGAATGAAAATTTAACGAATGACTGATTGGTTTGTTTAATTTGATTTATCGTTCATTTTTTTTTTTAATGTATGTATTGGTTATCTATGTGAATGTTGGTTTTCGGCCTCCATGCCGTCATGCGATATCGCGGATCTAATGCCGATTTTAGAGTACTTTTTCACTGAAATATTCCATGCAGAAAGCGTCAAGGACAGCTCAGACATTCACACATGTAAACGATGTAAGAGAGAATAATATCATTCAAGTGACATTTCTTTCTTCACATGCAAAAGAACGTGTCAAACGATAACCGAAAATATTTACCATGGGATGGACCTGGTACTGTAGAGACAAATCTATCGGATTGCAGTGTGTAGCAGTTTCCAAAACGACCACTCTTGAAGTGCGCAAAATCACTGCAAAATAAATTATTGTGTCTCGATACCATATAATAATAAGATATTAAAGTAATTTGTTTTAAATTCTATATCAACAAAAATTGTCGTTATTGCCATACCTCGAATTGCAACGCCTCGAGTTGAAGGAGCAATGAAGCAGCATATCGTCAAGCGAATGGCCAACTCTCAACAATTCGCTTCTAAAAAAGACACAATTTGTCAGTATTTTTTATTATACAATAATAAATACAAAGCTTAAAAGTGTTCAAAACTTGCACATACTTTATGAGCATAAAGCATATACGTCTAATAGCGAAATATGCCTGTATCGCCTGTACAACTGATAAACAATTTTATTTTTTTCGCTCAATCGATTATTGGTAAAAAAGAGGGAAATTTCAATCTCTATGTTCATGTTTTGAAATATCATCGAACGTACAGAGTCCAGCATTCCGCCCGGACAAAGTATACAGACAACGGGTGAAACAGTTGTTGCCATTACAAAAAATTCTGAACGAAAAGCAGAGAAAAACAACTACAATTTGTAAGGAATTTGGTATGCCCATTGCCTTCCTCACCTTGGCGAACTTTTAAAATTCATGCCAAAAGTGAGGTGTTGCCAAGCAAGGCGCTAGGAAATGAGAGATAGTTAGAAGCAAAAAGAAAGATAAAAATCCGAAATATTGCAATGGGTGCAGCAGATTTTTTTCGGTCGCTTTTGTACAGCCAATTACAGTCAAACATTTCATGATTGAATGCGTCGATTTCAAACAGAAACGTGACAGATTCTATAATGTATTGTCGTGTATGAAAAGATCATTTGATACAGTTTCTGTTCAATCAATATGTGATTATTTACATTCAATTGGTCTTTATATAAGATCTGATATAGTTTACACCCAATTCGTTCCCTGTTGATATATATTAACACCGTTTAAACCTTTTAATTTCTAGTTTAATGCAATTATTTCTTTGATTGCCTACTTTAACATGTCGTTTGGCCCTAAATGATTCGCATTGTCGATAGGCCGTAAAACAATTCAAACAAAAAACAAAACCCCTAATAGATGACGCAAAAGCAAATCCCCAATTCTGCAGGGTTTTATCACATAGGTCGCCTCTTGCGGTATATACTGTGAGTTTTTGATATGCAGGAACAGTCGAGGAATATTTCTAAACCTTCCCAAGTAAGCCAGTACAAGCGTTGTTTCTACTCCTGACGTTTCCATATTTTCAGACATTGAGATATGCACCAGAAGGATTATAAGTGTCAGATATGCATGGGACGGGAGTATATATTGTTTTGCACTGCGGTACTATTATTGCATTCATCAAATGATTGTATACTTTTCGTCTTATTTCCTTTTCTCTGGAGCATGAAACATAAGTTTGAAATTAGTTTCAGATTGAGACTATTGGTTACAATAAAAGACTACCCAAAGCTGCGGCGTCACGCATACCAATTTAAGCTAAAACTAGTGCAATGAACGTTTTAAAAAATTGAACGGATAGTTGTTACATTGTAACAAATAGATTTTTTTTTATCTATAACATATCTGCATTTAGATATTTATAGACATTAGGTAGTAAGAGGTATTCCTTAAGAACTAAACAAACTGTATCAGGTCATTCTTGTTTTTTTTCTGAAAGTAGAAGTCTGTTAAAAGGAAACTTCGGGTTATATATTTCGATAATCAAAAATTGTTCTATTGGGGAAAGTCAATTATGATCTGGCCTACGCACATATTTAATCAGAAATGTAGAGCGTCATAGAATTATGACATATATACATTTAAGCTTCACTAGTAAATTCATCACGCTATTTAATTCTCAGTTTTTTCAATCATAAACCTGATACCGACCGAGAAGCAATAATGGAAACCACAATTGATACGAAAAAGTGAGACTAAACTTTTTTGGTTTGGTTTGATTTTGTTTTTCGTCTTATTTTAACAGCTATGGTCATTTAAGGACGTGCCAGGTTTTGGTTGGTGGAGGAAAGCCGGCGTTCCTGGAGAAAACACCGACATACGGCCAGTACCTGGCTTCTGCCCCACGAAGACCTCAACCCGCGACCCAGTGGTGGAGGGCTAGTGGTAGTAGAATGTCACACGCCATAACCACTTGGCCACCGCGAGACTAAACAAGAAAATGTTTACATCAAAATTATTTTTTAATGTCATTGTTGAAAAGCTGTAAAGTGGAAACTTACGCATCCATTTTTTGTATTAAATCAGAGACAAGCATATTCCGAACTTGAAAATGGTTGTCCGGAATGTTCTTTGCGAGATCCCATTCTTCTTTAGCAATGCCATATTTCTCAAACTTCCTCAGGAATGGAAACTCTGGGTTATTTTTATCCATAATTATGGGCTGGTCCCGTTTGGATTTTTCTTTTAACTGCACAGGAAAAAACCCAGCAAGATTTTAAAATTACAATCATTTTGCTTAAATCAGGGCATTATATATAACCTTCCTGAATGTAATATTTAGATTGAATAATTTATTAAAACTGACAATATAAATGAAAAAGTTTTCAATTGAGATTTAGAAAATAATATGGTTTTGAGATCTTTCCCAGTGACAATCTCTTTCGGCTGTAGTATCTAAGGAAGCGGTGACATTTGTGAATGTATTTGCTTGGTAACGAGTATGGGTCTCGCTGAGTATAAAAAGCGCATTATCGATCAATCCATTTATCATTCGTTAAACGTGTGCGCAATGTGACACTAATATGCTATAAAAATAGAACACTTTCACGATTTTGAATCTTTATCTGAGAAAAGTGAAAAAATAATAGTAAAATACGACCCCGCCCNGATTTCACAATGTTGACGACAACACACCTGGGATTATCGCATTTTGTACGTGTTTTGCTAGTAAAACGTCTGCACGACGAAGACTAAGAGTTCATAACAAAGTTTCCGTGTGTAGGCTCAGATCTATGCACGTGAAAGACCGATGATATATATGGGATTTATTGAAATGTATACCTTTTATTTTTGATACACAATTTCGAGAATGCGCCATAAGTATCAACCAGCTTGGCAGTGTTTCAAAGTCTTCACGTGAGTGCGTTTGATTTTTGATATCGGTTGCCAATCAGGGCGCACGGTGCATTGAATCGTAAAACGGTCAGTTGTTGAATGATAACCGGTTTGTCAGGTAATGCGCTTTTCATACTCACCAATACCCATACTCGTTACCAAGTAAAGGCAAACTAAACTGTCGGCACTTCCTTAGAAACGATTGTCAGAAGAGATGGGATGGATCTCAAAACCAGATTTTTTTTTTTAACTCGATTAAAAGTGTTTTTGACTTGCACTGTCAGATTTAAGCTGTACGTTAGATTGATCAAAATATTTTTAAACCGAACCAGAGCGAAATACCCAAGCTTGTTCAGTAAATTCCATGAGTAAGTTGAAATCCATAATTTCCCGAAAAAACTCGTTTCGTTGAAAAAAGAATAAACGAGTCAAGAAAATGCAAAGTTGTCATGGCATTATTATAATTGCTATAATTTTTGACAGCGATACAGATATTTTTAATGGAGACATTCGATTACAACTCTGCATGAAAACATTTGATTTGAACTATAAAATACACATGTTTACCTCTACTTCTGATAACGTCATAAAAAATTTCAACGGAATGGAAAGTTCATCAAGTTGCATCTTTTTCAAAGGGTTGATGTTGCAAAAAGAAACTGCAGGAAAATGCAACGCTCCAAATTTCAAATCTAATGACGTTTGCTTCGGTCGGGAAAGAAACAGAGACGATAATTTAAAAATCTGGTAACAGAGGGCTCCAACGGTCAACAGCCAAAGAGTTATCCACAGAATCTTCTTGTATGTCTGCTTGGCAACAATAATATGCGCCACTCCATGGACAGTAGCCATCATGGCATGCTCGGTCAGAATCTCTTTAAATCTTGCTCTCTTTTTCTGCATGTTTTTGTCGCCGACATAATCCTGTGCAAAAATATTTCATTTAAAACAAAACATCCCAAATACGCCCAATTACTTCTTACTGGCAATTTAGTTGGTTTGGTTTGGTTAATTCTAATTTGTTGAACCACGACTTCAAAGATTGTAGTCATGTCGTACGTCACAAAAATAGTTAATTTCACGTTGAGTACAGACTTACTGAAATTTATCGACAAAATAAGATAGTTTCAATACGAGGTCGATATATAAAACATGACCAGTAAAGTTACTGTGCTTTCTACTTACGCCAACTTCAGCATCTTTTACCATTTCCATGGTTATGTCTTTCATATTCCGGTTGTAATATTCCTTAAAGAAAGAAACGAGATTTTTCCCAATTAAATAAATATTGAACCAATTACATAGTGTTATGATAGTATTTTCAACTTCTAAAAATTGTCGAAATTGTCGAGTTTTTTGGGCGTGTTTTTGGGAGGAAGAGAGAGGGATATCGAAAGGTCAAAAAGAATATTTTGTTTGAATATTTTATCCATTTCAGAAAATCATTTCAATATTGGTAGTTATGTGTTTTTTCATAAAACATAGTGTGTCTATGGTGTCTCCATGTGTGCGGAATTTGGTGCGGTGTCTGGATGTTTATACGCGTTCCCGTTGTATTTTGTGGACATACATTGAAGGGTATAGGTAAGTAATAACAAAGAGTTGTTATATTTGTTTACTTTCTAGCGATATGTTGTTGCATTGTTGTGTGGGGTAGGTTCCTTATTGATGTATCACCCACGTGTTCCACCTTCGGGGTATCATAAAAGGACAATAGGTAGCATGATTTACTATTTTAGTCGTATCAAATCGATTATCTAACTTTGTTATCAATATTTTTTATATACATAATTATCTTATTTGTCATTACATAAATATGAGGGGGGGGGGGGTAGTGTCAGAGAACTAAATACAATTAACACATAGTACAGTGTCACGTTAATCAGTCATTTTTCCTTTTTTTCAGTGTCGTTTCAGTGATGGAGTGTTTTCATTCGATGAAAGTGATTCCCGAATTTTTCTGTGGAGATTACAAGTGTTTGAAGATGTGTACCTACAAGAGATGCAGAGTGTCTAGGAAAATTTTACATTGTTTATTTCTGTATTTGTTAATATCTACTGTTGTTTGTATATATTGTTTAAATATGCTTGTTAAATTTACCTGTTTAGTTTTTGCCTCACTTATGTAATAACATTTATAGATTACAAAGCCTATAATTGTTAGGAGGTGATTGAGTTCATTATAATTTGGGTGTTCTATTTTATATCCAATTGCTAAGTTTTTTAAAGTCAACATATCCTTTTTATATCCAAGTTTATCAAAAAGGTGCTTAATTTTATTATTAAAACTTTGTAGATATCTACATTTGATGAAAACATGTTCATAGTCTTCTGGTATGTTGCAAACATTACAATTAGGTGTATCACTCAATTTCCATTTATGTAGTATTTGCTTTGATACTAGGATTTTATTTAATAATTTCCATCTGAACTCTTTTAGTTTGTTGTTCTGTAAGGTTTTGAATATGAATTCATTTGTGTACTCTAGTACAGCATTGATATTAAGGTTAATTTCCCAATATATTATTGAGATTGGTTTTTCGGAACGCAATTTTATTAAACTCGACTAAGCCGGTTTTCATTAAAAAGTCTGACATATTTGGTCTGAATATGCCGCCGAGAGAGCAGTGGCTCAACCATGTTGAATTATACAAAGCGATATCACGATCCATTCCAGGAGAGACAATAGTTGGTATCCAACGTGTACGTGATCTGTGGAGAATATACACCGACTGTGAAAAGAGTAGAGACGCTCTGCTCACTTCAGGGATACATCTTCGAGCAAAAACTATCCCGATATACAACTCTAACCCTTCACGGCCGTCGTTATATTCTCAGAGAAGGGATACGATGATGACGGTCAGGGTGAAGAATATACCGCTTTCCGCTGACGATGGCCAGATTCGAAGGATCTTCACAATTAGAGACATCGAGATTGTAAGTTTCTATCGAGAGAAACTGAGAGTCGATGGTAGGCTTACAAACTGCGAGACAGGTGACAGAATAGCTGTGGTAAACAAATTCTCACAGCCATTCGAAATATCTATGGAAATCGGAAGATACAGAGCAGTCGTGCTCCACAACGGTCAGATCAACAGGAAGCTCAAGTGCAACAACTGCCTTGA